CTTACGTTTGTTTGTTTTTTTTTTTTTTTTTGCTGAAGGGAGATAGACCCGGTGGATCGAAAAGAATTATCAAGAATATTATTCTAATGAGGTTGAGTCTAGAGGGCAGCTCGAATAACATGCTTTCTTATCGCTGTAAAAATATTAATTCGTTCATGACCTTAATCAACGGCGTCGCGCGTGTAGAAAAGGGCGCGGTTTATTTTTCTTGTGCGTGTCTCTCACCGTTATAAAATACATTATCCTCGTAATATCTATTACGTGACTTTCCTCAATGAAAATCGCGCTGTGCTCGCGATCATGTACAAAACGAACACTTCACCGTACATTTTTTCTAATCTCGCGGCGAACCGCGACCAATCGACCATCGAAATTTACCTAGGCGAAACAAAGTTTTGCGCCCTCCACCGAGCGCGGCACTTGTACACAGACGACTCTTCTATTTACAAATACTATATAATAAAACGTCTAACTGTAGATTTAAGTATTTTTTACAAATGTCAACCAACGGTGTCTCGCGTGTCCTTTCGCAGATCAGAGAACGATTTACCAACACTTCGTCTCGAGTGTTACGAGGCTCTTTTAATTTTTCAAACGAAACTTATCTTCGCAAACGTCGCGTAAATTTTTTTAAACCCATCCACCGGTCAGCTTGTGGAACATCTCCTCGTTCAACGTTTGATTCGCCTCTTTGGACCGCATCGACAGGAAGATGTACCCTCCGATAAACTCGTGAACCACTTTACAATCCGCAGACTGGCACTCGAAGATGATGCTCTCTTTCTCGAACTGGACCATCATGTGTTTCACCTCCCAGTTCACGTTCCACGCCTGCACAAACGACGAATAGTATCACAAAGTTCTTCCTGCGAGATCGATCTACTCACTTTCATCGTGTTGTATCTCCAAGTCTTCAAGTGATCGCCGCTGTGCAGCTCCATCCGCATCAGCCTATTATTAGCAATGCCCAGCAGCTCGTCCTTGCTCTTTCCAGTGAATCTGACTACGAACAAGGAGATTCCATATTCGGGAAGCGACTGCCACGCTTTGATATAGTTCAGTTTAGCTTCTACCAAAGGAAGATCCTTGACATTCGCGTGTGCTTCGAGAATCCTTTGAACCAGCTACGGGTAGAAGGGGGAAGAGTTTAGAAGACGAAGAAACACCTGGAAGTTAGTACAACAATTCCATACCATACCTTTCCTTTGAATTTCTTCACGAATCTAGGCGCAACGTAGTCGTCAGGGGCGATATCCAGAGCGTTTGGATTGATCGCGGGCGCAGGAGCAGGCCTTTGGAGTTGCAGGAAGGCAGTGATACTGTTCACTTCGCTTTCGTAAGAGGCATCAGCAAGGGAGCGTCCCTTCGCTGCCAATCTACACGCTGCCATCCATTTCGCGTACTGCTGTTCCTGTAACAATCGTCCGGGAAGGATATTTAAACAGAGTGTGAGAATTTTTATCACACTCAATTTAACCGTCGGACGAAAAGCGGAGCCGGGTCACATCTGACCCACCACAAAATGTCTTTCTCCGTTTTTATGTAAACACGTTCCTAACTAAAAAGAAAAAAATCTCTACATTTCAGATGAACAAAGTGTCTGCCCCACCCTGTATATCTCACGAACCTTCTACAGAACAAGTACTGCGGGTCAAAAATGACCCAGCTACCTCGACCGACGGTTGAACGAGAAGAATTTCAACATCAATCTACCTTTAGTGAGAAAAAGAAAAGAAGAACAAGATGAAAGTCATTGTAAGTGTAAAATTAATAACGCTTCACGAGCGACGTGGGCAGCGTGCACTCACATTGTCGCATCTGATCCACATCTCGGTCATGCCCTCGGCGCTGGGCACCTCCAGTCTGATCCCGTAGCGACCTTGCGAGAGATGGACATCTGGCGTGACCTCGCATCCACGCAAATTGATCACGTGGGCAGGTGACTCGGTGCTGTTCGTCTCCTCCCGGCTCTTGTACAGCCTCAGCTGAAGGTCCCTGCACGTGACCCAGTAGCGTTTGAACGCCTTCAGGGTGAAACGCTTCGGCTTCAAGAATCGCAGGTAGTCGCAGAGCTCCGGCACCTGAGTGATGTCGCTGGGCCCGTTACTGATGTTGCTGCCCTCCAGGGTCACCTGGAGATCCGTCAAGGCTGCGTCAATGTCGTCCTCGACCGGCGAGGAGGCGCCGTTGCTGTCGTAACTCGGCTGCGGCACGTTCGCCTGAAGATTCACTTGCACCTGCAATACGGAATACAAATGTCACCGACGCTTTTCCTCTGCCTAGGATATATATCTCACGCGTCCCTCCTCTATGTACACATATATACATATACAGGCTCCACGTTGGAAACCGGTAGGCGTATGACGGAAAAACCAACGTACATACGTCCTACCGATCGATTTATGGAAACACGAGATATTTGCATGCGTAGAGAGGCGTCGTACGGGCGGATCGAGTCTCTCTCTAATTGGACAGGTAATCGGAAAACAACTTTTCTTTCTCTATTTTCAGACTCTCTCCACGATCGTCCAGATATTCTCTTTTCTTCTGTTTTTTTTTTTTCCACCAAAGTTCTGCGCGCGCTGCGATACGTCGTGTCATCGCCAGCTATTTCCGTACCACGTACACGCGTGTATCTACGCGTGCACGTATAGACCGATCTGGAGCGGCGGATGTTTGGATCGTGGAAACGTTCCACGCGTAAACAATCGCGCACAGCTGGCCCCGGTCGCGGGTCCCCCCAGCGACGTGAAAGGGTTATAGGGAAGTCTACGTGAGAGGTGGTTACATACCTGTAACGCGGCGAACATCAGCATCTCCTCCTCGGTGCAGTCGATCTCTTCGGCCAACAGCTGCCACTTGGCCTGCTCGTAAATCATGTTGATCCTGACAGCGTCGGTTTTCGGGTTCAGGTCGTAGAACGAGTAGAACTTGAACTTCAGCCTGAGGGTGTCGTATTCGCGGATTCCTTGCTCCATGATGGATAGAGAAGAGTCCAGCCACGCTACGTTCATCCTGGCTCGTTCCACGAGGTTCTTCGGCCTGATCAATTTTGCTCTGATCTCCGGAGAAATGGTGGTCGGACTCTGTGCCAACGACTCCGACAATCCTCCGTTCAACGCTTCTAAACTCATCGTGCTGTTGTTCGCGTTGAAGGAACCGCTGCTACCGAATCCCGACGAATTGTTGTTCCTCTTCCACGTACCGGTCTGCTGTTCAAAGACGAACAGAAACGGGGAGGGAATAATGGAGGAGAACGTGAAAGTCTCGTGCTCCTAGGTGTAGAGCAATAAATACGCGGAGCTAATGACTTAGCAGCGAGGCTGGCCCAGGAAAAACAGGCCGGTACGCCAGAGAGGCAAATTAGTTTTCTGAGATGAACCACTCCGTAAGCGGTAATGATAGGCCAATGTCGATAAATCATAGCCGCGGCAATGAGGTCGATCGAGGAACTATTTATTACCATAACAGGTCCGCGGCGGCCAGGCTCTCTGGTATGTATTTCCTCTATCGATCGAGCAACGTATCCCACCGATATACAAGCATGTTTCTGGGCGCTAGAGATTCGTACTCACCGTGACAGGAGAGCTGATCGGTGTGCTGTGATTTCTGTTGTTGGGTGTGACCGGCGCGCACATGAAAGGACTGCTCTGATCCAGGCTGCCCGTGGATCCCCTCGGACTCTGACTGACTGGAATGAACGTGTTCGTGTCTGCCGGAACGTTCCAATGGCCGTTCTTCTGGTGCTCGATCTTCTTCTTCACCGGCAGGTCTTTTAGATTGTATTTCAGGTGGTTCGGCTCGAGCGGTTTGCAGAACGACAATTCCTCGGGATGTCTGATGCCTGATAGTTAGAGAAATAGGGAGAGAGTGAAGAATTTTTCATTTTCATCGGATTTTTGAAAGAAACGTGCTTTCGCAGGCTAAAAAATCGAAGGAAAAAAAGGTGTGAATTGTTAAGTTCTTTTGTACAATATCGGGAATGAACGCATCGAGAGGTTTCGTAACAGTTTCACGCGTCACACGCTCTCTCTCTCTCTCTTCTCCCGCAATTTGTTTGTCGCGAAGAAATAGCGGGCGAGCGTGGCGTTCACGCGTTTACCATGTCTATTTACGAGTATGACACGAGGAAGGCTATCTGCGAGGTCAATTTGTCGGAGAAAAAGTAACAAACGCGACATAACAACCGCTATACCAGGCGTGGACAAATTATTTCGCAATCTTGCAGTTTCTATCGCTCCCTTCGTCACTCTGAATTTTTACCCTATTCTATTGTAGTCGTATCACTAGCACCACGATTAATTCTTCTTCTGCACAATATTTTCTTTCGGCGTTCTTTTTCCTTTTTTTTTGTTTCAATTAAGCAGCTAAGCGTCGCGATAACAATGGCTTCATTATCGCGGCTCACCACTTCCTTGATTAAAAAACCAGGCCGTTAGAGAGCGGTTGCGGTGAACTTCAGGCACGGAGGCTCCCGTGACCTTCGCGTGACCAGGAATTTAACAATTTTATTTCATTATCGGGACTAATTAGCGCCGTCACGGGTTACGTGTCGTGCGAACCAGCCTTTGCTTGCATTTCTACTCGAAAACTTAACACCGTCCCTGTTTCTTCTCCACTTTACACGTCTACTTTCGATAGAATTCTCAATTCTTTTTCTTTTTTTCTTTTTTTTTTCGTACTTCCAGCAGTACTAAACCAACTCACCCAGTTCTTTGCATAGATTGATCACCGCGTTGAAGGTCTTGACGGAGAAGTCCACCTTGCAGTCGAGGAAGCGCGTATCAGGAAGTTGCACTCTGAGTGTCTTGTGCATAGGCGTGAAGTGGAGGAGCGCGTCCGCCGCGACGCCATACTGATCGAGGGTGCTCTTCGTTCTGGTCAGCCAGTGATTCCTCTCTGGCCACCATAGCGCGTGATCGGACCAGTCTATGGCGATGTCTGAAAAAAGCGAAAGGGGAAATTGAAAAAGCCGTTGCGTTACTCCTTCTTATCTGCGCGGCGCGCGAGAGAGCGTTACGAAGATGGACGTGGTCGATTGGGTTGATGGTCAGGAAAGAGGGGGAGGAGGTCGATTGTTTAATGCTTCTTAAAGGGAGGCGAACGCACAGCGTCAATTTATCAATGAAGATCCAACGAGATGGCGGCCGTAGACATGCGTGTTTATTGCCTTTATCGTCGGTCCCTTTGATAGTTTCGCGATTCCGGAAACAGAAGGCACCCCTAATTCTCTGTTGGGGAGGAATATTCACTGGTGAGCAGAGGGGGAGCAAAAGAATGTCAGGATGTATTGGAAACATCGATAAAGCCCTCTGCTGCGTTTAAAGTGACTCGATAAACCTTCGTGGGAAATTGAAATGAATCTCCTCCGGGTGTGATGCAGCCTTGATAATTCTCGTAACGTCTCGTTTCTCTTCGTTCGTTACTATTTTTACACGTTCTTCACGGTGTTCTCGGTCGTTCGTTACACGTATACGAACGAGACGGCTCCTCGAGGATTCCGCGCGCAATAACTTGGTAGATTTAATTTCTCTTGCGGTTGCAAATGTACGACTTCCCAAGTCTCTGACCGCAGCCTTAAACCCCTCCTCCTATCCTCGTTAGAGAGCCACAACGCTGGATGCGTTGGACGTGTGTACTCCGTGTTTTTCTTTCCCGAGGCCCCGTATCCGGGACATGTGCGTCAGAAGCTTCGCGACGCTTCCTATCCGGGCCCCGATACGCGCCTTCCATGATTTACGCACGCCGCGGTCTTAACGACCACGTGGCTGGGTCCTACCGCGCGTCCTGTTTACGTTATTGCCGCGTAAAGTTATCACTTGGACCGGCTATCGGGTTTCCACGTCGCGATTCATCGCCGAGTTTCTAATTTTCTCTGAATGACAGCCACGCGGTGTAGTCGGTGGAAGAAATATCGTGGTCAAGCGTCACAGTTCACACGTCCGAGAGTTATTAATTAGCGAACACCACTTTGTTTTCTTTTGCAATTTAGTTAACAGTCTTTGGATTCTGCAGTAAGACAGCTTCGACGTAATTTACGACGTCGCTGTATTTCTTCTGCCGACTGTACATCGAAAGGTGCATTATTGAAAATGAAAGTTTGGAACAGCAGGTCGAGATACGTAACGGCACTCTAATGCTTCCACGCTATTTGTCGATAAGATATACACAAGGGAACCCCGAAACGATCCAGTTAAGCGAAACATATTGCTCCCTACAACTCTACCCTCCTTACAACCCACCTCGAGTCGTATACACCAGCATTATTCCCCAGTAACGTCAAGGGCCCCTATAATTGCCGAGAGTCAAGGTATCCGTCGCGATCCACTAATTACGCCGCACTCCCCCCTTCTGGAGTAACTGTTGCGGAGATAAAATTGAAGGGGTGCGACATGAAAGGGTCCCGGGGCCCTGTCGCGTCTTTCTCTCTTCAAAAGGCTTCCTCGTACGTTTGTTTCTACTCTCGCGACAATCCCAGCACGTCGAGAGAGAGAGAGAGAAAGAGAGTGGCCAAACCAGCCTCTTCTTTCCCTTCGATTCTCCGTCGCGTGCATCGACTCTCTCCCCGAAAGAAGCGATTACAATGAACCTTTGAGAACGTGTATACACGCTCGTGTACCAAAGATTTGTCCCGAAGTTGCCACCCCCGTCCCCCCTTTGTGTCCATTCTTTCGCACAAGAGCAGCCAAGCCTGCGAGACACAACCCCTTGTGTGCGAGAAGACGTCGTCGACAAGGGTGTCGGCTGGCTCAAGGGTTTCATCCCTCGCTGCCTCTCGAACACCGGGGAAAACCGGTCCGTTTCCAGTCTTCTGGGGAAACACGCGCGACACACACACCTACACACGTGTTTGACGAACAAATTTTCACAGCTGTTCCGCTCGATTTAACGACTACGTCCGACGAAATCCTCCAACACCATCCCGAGTGACTATTACGCCGACCACATGGCGGAGAAAACGGAACACACCGAGTGTGAATGGGATTGCGGTGGCTCAAGTGGTTCGATTTTCTTCCTTTTTTTTTTCGTTCCAAAGTGAAACACCTCCGGATATTTATGGACACTGTGCAAGGTGCAAAGTGACTGACGTTCTTCCGAAAGAAGCTGTTTCTACGCTACAGCTGCCACGGGCTACGAGAGAACAATGTACCGATGTCAAGCACCTCCTCGTCGCTGCAAACCTGTGTCTCCGGTACAAAAGCTTAACAAGATGTTTTCAAACCTCTCTCGAGGACGAGTGGCTCAGTCTGAGTGGACAGTGTTCACGTCGACTCTCGCGTCTAATCAGATCGAGCTAGTTATCTCCGACAGATTCTATTCTCTTTCTCTCTCGAACGAGCACGAGAGTCGTCCGTCGTCGTTGCTCGATTCGCGTCGTGCCAATACGTTCCTACGATACTCGCTCGTCGAGTCTCTTTTCTATGCGACAGAGTGGTCGCGAGGCGCGCGACGAATTCAAAGGACGACGTACCGTTAATGGGATGATTTTTTCCAACAGTGACCTGTCGTGCCACGCGGTTTTTACGCACCGTTACACGTTGCATCGGTAGGAGAGGAGGACACCTCTGTGAGAGGCACAGCTACAGAGAAGAAAAGCCTTGCTGCTCCCACGATTGTGCAGCTGCGGTCTATAAATATTAGGCGAATTTTAGGACTCGAGCAGCCATGTTGCCCTCCTGTCGCGAACCTTCGAGACCTTCGACGCCTGCCGCGTGATTTTTAACTCTTAGAAAAATTGAAACGACGCAGCACGGAATAACAGAGACTTTTCTTAGCGTTTCGAGCAAAGAAGGAAAGGCTAGAAACAACATTCCGCTGCTAGATATTACAACACGCGTGTACAGGCTACCTACGACGCGTTTAGTATGCATTGTCTTTCGTTAAGAAGCTCCGCAACTACAAGATATTAACCGACGTCTGTCCCGGTATAAAATATTCAATTAGACGTTCGTACACGGGTTGTGTCGCATACGATGCAAATACCGGAGCCACTTACGCAAATCCGGCCGTTTGTTGGGTGACCCCGTTCACGAGGGCTCGATGAACGCAGGGGAGAGATTCCGACTGGGAAATTCTCTATGCTGATCTTTGCTTCGCTCTTGTATGCACACTCCAACGTTCAACCTGAATATGTTGGAAATATCGTCTTATAGGATACTGTTACGTAGGAACAGAGGAAAAGGAGGGAATTCTACGACCTACAAAAGCTTGGATTCAACGTCCTATTAATTTTGCAGGAGATTTAGAACAATCGAAAACCTGTACGAAATCCCTTTCATTGCTATTGGCGCCGAAAAGCTTTTTGAAAATTTGCTCGAGTCTTTCGGTCTTCCACCTTAATTTAATAAACCGAATTTTAAAACTTCACCCTCTCCAGTACACGTTACGTATAAAAATTTGCCACAGCGAAAGGGTTAAAGAGGCTGGCCAGTGTCGCAGAGGACCTGAAGATCGCGTATTCGATTCTGGACGCATGAACCTTCTTTTTCTCAAGGACTTGGAAAATTTCTGCATCCGTGGTAAAAAGTTCACCGTCTGCCAAATGTTCAAATCGAGTGATCAATATCGCAGAGGACCTCAAGATCACAAATTCGAGTCCCAAAACCTTTTTCCGAAGCACTTGGAAAATTCTCGTTGCTACTTGCTCCTTTTCACGGTATGCAGAATCTACGATCACACAGTTATAGCTTCCGAATGACGTGGCTTATGGTCTCGTATGCAAGGATGCGGCACGGGTGACATTTACCGACGAACAATGGCTCCACCTTGCAGGAAGTTCGACCGTGAGAAGTGCAACGAACGGTGTATGCACTTACGTGAACGAGAAATATCACGGTGGAAAATAATGCGAACGATACCTTAGCGAGAGACGCGGATAGAGAAGAAGGAACACAGCGTCGATTCGTCGGCGAGAAAATGTTCTTTGCATAACAACGAGGGGCCGATGTGCGCGAGCGGTGTACCGCTAGGAGTGGCACCGTGACACACAAACGAGAAAAACGACGCCTCTTCTTCCAGGTCGTTTTATTGCTCGTGCTGGTGACCGGAAACGCGTGTGAGAGCGTCTCCTTCGACAGATCGGCCTCGTCCACGCGGAAATCTCCTTTCTTCGAAATTCATCAAAATTCTTACTTCTTTCTCAAAATGAAACATTCGTCGTGTTCAATTGCGCTCTGTTTCTCTTCGTTCCTGGTTCGATCGAAACGCGGATATTGTTTCAAACGATACCTCACTACCTTCGAAGTAGCTATTTTCGACTGCTATTAAACGTTGTTATTTTTCGGCAAGGAAGCCGTCGATGACGGAACAGAAACCGTGCTGCTCTCCTCGTAACAGTCTTGACTGAAGCTATTTTCGGTAGGACCGCGTCTGGAGGCTCGTGTAAATACCTACTCGTTGGTGTAAATCGAGAGCCGACATAGCGGAAGAATTCCAAAGGAACACTCACGTTCCATGGAAATTCCAGTGAAATGTACTTTGCCAACGGTAGAAACGTGACTTTCTGTTAAACTTGTCTGACTGAAGCAGCGAGAACCAACAGAGGGATAAGAGAGAGAGAGGGGAAAACACGCGGAAAATTTCAGACAATTTCCAAGAGTATTCCGGCGTAACCGAGAAGGACGCGTGTAATAAACAGGTTCGCTTTTAACTGAAACTGAGCGAAATTTCAAGTACTAAGAACGCCGACGATCGCGAGAAAACGAACTACCGTCTGATTAAGAATTCTCTAAAGCCTCGGGTAATTTGAATAATTAGGCGGGGTACCGCATTGATATTGCACGCGGCACCTGTGCCCGCCTCGAGGAATGCTCCTCGATCGAATCAATTGCACACGCTACCCTCGAGAACCGGCGAGATTGCCGGTGGAAACGGAGGCCACCGTCATTAAGGCCGCTTCTTAGCCGAAAATTTATCACCAAGCCTCCACGATGGGCGCAGGC